GGTTGCAGCTGTCATTGTTGTTTGGCAGGTCAGGGCTGGATTCGAACCCGCCACCTTAGGTGTATGTGGCTGGCGCCTTAGCCACTTGAAGCACAGGTGCCGAGCCAAGGGTCTGATTCTGTCCCTTCCCTACCTTGTTCTAAACCAAGAGACCCCTCTACAGTACCCTTCTGGTCAGGAAGCCCAGGTCAGAACCCTCTGTCCAGCAACCTTTCTGCAGTCCAGGGTGCCCCTCCAACCAGGTTCCAGAAGTGCCTTCTGCCCTGTCATTCCAGCTACAGCTGGTGCCAATCCCTGACCCACAGGCCTCCATGTACCCACCCTTACTCAGAGCTGCTTGCCACCTCCCACCTCAGATACATGCACACATGCTGTCCGGAGCCCGGGTGCCAAGGAAGTGCCCGAGACTGACCCCTTCTCGGCTCCCACAGGATGTCACCAAGCTCCAGAAGCTGGAGATGAGGCTGCACACGTTCAGCATGTTTGGGATGCCCCGCCTGCCCCCTGATGACCGGCGGCGCTGGGAAATAGGAGAGGGTGGTGACAGCGGCCTGGCTATCGAGACGTCCTGGAGGGAGTTGGTGCCTGGGCACAAGGTGGGCCTGAAGCAGTGTCTGTCCCCACAGTGCTACAGACACACATTCTGCTATGGGGGAGGGAAAAGCCTTGGGAGGTAGGGTCATGGTGAAAAGCATTTGGAGACATCTTGATCCTGGTTCAGATCCCAACTCTGCCACTTACTGGTGAGACCTTGGCCAAGACAGCCAACTCTGAGAGCCTCAGTTGCCTCAGATATAAAATGGGGCAAATATCATCTATACACCGGAGGGGTGGATTGAGGACCAAAAAGGTCATGTACTGTGTACCTAGAACCTATGATGTGGATCCAGTAGCACTTAATAAAATGGCACCTAGGGTGGCATCTGTGGCTCAAAGGGGTAGGGCACCGGCCCCATATGCTGGAGGTGGCGGGTTCAAACCCAGCCCTGGCCAAAAATTGCAAAGAAAAAAAAGAAAGAAACGGCACTTGCTGTTCTGATCAGCAACCTCCCTGAAGCAGCACTGTTCCCACCCCAGGAGATGAGCCGGGAGCTTTGCCACCAACAGGAAGCAGTGTGGGAGCTGCTGACCACTGAGCTGATCTACGTGAGAAAGCTCAAGATCATGACTGATGTGAGCCTCCCTCAGCCCCAGCCCTGGCCCTGTCCTCAACCATTCACCCATCTCCTGGGCATTATGTCCCAATCTCCCAGACCTGAGGGGCAGGATACCAAGAGATTCTGATTCAGATCTTCCCAGGATCTAGGGAGAGGGGTCGGCAGCGCTGAAGTTGGTGGGATCTAAGGAGTGACTCCGAGGGGGCCAGACTGGGGTCCAAGAGGAGGGCAGTCGGGTGCTGAGACCTGTGTCTCTTTCCTTGCATCTAGCTTCTGGCTGCTGGCCTGCTGAACCTGCAGCGAGTGGGACTGCTGATGGACGTGAGTGGGAGCTGGGGGGGGATCCTGGGGGTGGGGGTGGGAGTGGAATTGAGAGCCCTACAGGCTGTTGGCCTGAGTTCCCACTGCTCCATTTTCTGGATGCTCTTGCCTGCCCTGCTCCCCTTTTGCTCTAGAGCCCAAGCAAGGCCGCAGATCCCCCCTTGCATAGTACTCAGCCCTTTGAGGCCACAGAGGAGGAAGGAAAGGTTGGAGGCCCTCAGATCTTCTTGGGCCCGCAGTCAGGCTCAGCCCTTGGCCCCACCCTCAACTATCCAAGCTTAGAGTCTTCATCCTCCCACAGCCAGTGCTACCAAATAGAGCCCTACCAAAGTCATGTTGCTAAATTCTGTTCCCCTTTCCAGGTATCAGCTGAGACCCTGTTTGGAAATGTCCCCAGCCTGATCCGAGTCCATCAGAGCTTTTGGGAGGAGGTGCTGGGGCCCACCCTGGAGGAGACCCGCACCTCGGGCCAGCCTCTGGACCCAGTCAGCCTGCAAAGTGGTTTCCTGATGGTGAGGCCTGGGAAGGAGCCACACCCAGATGGGGCAGGACTGGGAGGCCCAGAGGGATCCTGTCTGTAGGACATGCCTGTGCCTATGGGACTTGGGTCCCTGCATGATCTGAGGGACCTGCAGGGCATAGCCTTTACCCACAAATATCACCTCACCTCCTGCCCTCCATTCTATAAGTGTGACCTGTGAGCCAAAGGTCCTATGGTTATCTGGAGGTCCTTAGGAAATGGAAATGCAGTTGTCTCAGGGAAGCTCTGTGCCTAAGCTTGTTATCAGCTATAAAAGCTTAATTCTTACAGACTTGTCCAGCAAACATCTAGGTGCAAGAAAGGGGCCTAAGTAAGGGGATCCTTAGGATGACTTGGGAGGTGGGTGTAAAAAGCCACAGGGTCACCCAGAGAGGAGACGTATGATAAGAGAAAGCAAGAAGACAGAGGATCAGACTTTCCTCCACAATTTTAGCCAGTCAGGGCCCTGCAGAAGAGTATTGTAGTGGGGTAGAGGGGTTGGGGATAGTCTGCTGGGAGCCCTTCCACAGGGAGCAGGGCTTCTGGGCAAACCCTCAGGTCACCACCTCACTCTGGGTTGAAATGGGATCCACAGTATCCTGAAGACAGTCTGGCTGAATTATTGATGGTGGGAGAGTAAGCACAGGGCAGCCCAGGGGACAGAGGGAGCTCAGAGGGCAGTGTGGGTCTGTCTCAGACCTCAGGCTCCTTCCTGGAGTCCAGAGAGGGAGGCCTGGCTGCAGAGGGCTGTCAGGGAAGGTAGGGACTGGCAAGAGCTAGGCTAAGGCCCGTGTGAGGCTGTCCTGCTCCCATGTGCCGCAGCCAGAGCCTGTATTCGTCACCTTCCTCCCCCTGCCTGCTCCCCGCCCTGTGTCTGTCCCTCCAGTTTGGTCAGCGGTTCCAGCCCTACGTCCAGTACTGCCTGCAAGTGAAGCAGACAATGGCTTACGCCCGGGAGCAGCAAGACACTAACCCTCTCTTCCATGTCTTCGTGCAGGTGGGACAGGGGCTCCCAGGGAGGGGACAGGTGTGTCTTGGCCAGCCAGGTCATCCCAGTCTCTGGCTGGGCCCCAGGCTAAGTAAATCACTAGGCAGGGCAGGGGGGCCAGCAGATTTCTGAGACCCACTCACCTCCTGGCAGTGGTGTGAGAAGCACAAGAGCTCAGGGAGGCAGATGCTCGGTGACTTGCTCATCAAGCCCTACCAGCGAATCACCAAGTATCCACTGCTGCTCCAGGCCGTGCTCAAGAGGAGCCCAGGGGTGCAAACCCAAGAGGCCCTGAACGCCATGGTAGGTGCCCCAGAGTGGCCAGATCCTGAGGACTTGGGGGCTGGTGAGTGGGCACACATCCCCAGGCACTCTTGAGGTCCCATTCCTTGTGTGTATGGGGGTGTGGTACTGCCTGGCTTGGCCTGCTTTAGCACACAGCAGTTGACAATGATTGGGAGGGACTCTGTGCTGTCCCTCCTCCCTTACTCCCAGCCACTCACCTAGATTGCAGCTGTGGAGTCGTTCCTGAGACACATCAATGGGCAGGTCCGCCAGGGTGAGGAGCATGAGAGCTTGGTGGCCGCGGCCCAGCGCATCGGCCCCTATGAGGTGCTGGAACCACTAAGTGAGGAGGTGGAGAAGGTGAGAGAGGACAGAAGATGAGGGCCCACGAGAAACAAGGGGCCAGGAATATGGTGAAAGGGAGGCCTGGAGGGGCAGGCAGAGGCTAGAACACCCTGGGCTTGGGGGCCACAGAAGGGGTGCATCCATCATTCCTTCCTGGTCATGAGGGACAGAGGTTAGCACAGAGGAGGCACTGGGGTATTTCCTCTGCCCCTGGGGCAGGGAGGACAGAGGGAGAAGGGAGGGGCTGGTGGCAGAACGCAGAGCCACCTTGGTTGGGATGTAGAGACAGCCTGCCTAGCACCCTGTCCCCTCCCCTACCTGTGTCCCTCAGAACCTACGTCCATTCTCCACCCTGGACCTGATGTCCCCCATGCTGGGGGTCAGCTCTGAGCACATGAGACAGCTGTTGCTGGAGGGACCCGTGCGCCTGAAGGAGGGCCAGGGCCGAGAAGGGAAGGTGAGGGGCTGCGGGGCAGAGTGCAGAAGCTAAGAGCTGAACTGGAGGGAGGGCAGGTGGGAGACAGGGTGAGGCAAAACAAGGGAAATGGTAGGAGGGGGCTGCGTGTATGTTGGGAAGAGGATGTAGTTCCAGCTAAGCTCAGTTGTTTGTATGCCCCTAAGCCAGCTACTCCCTGTGTGTAAAAGGGCGAGATAGCACCAAATGGACACCCTTCCCACCTGGCGTCCCCAGCCCTGTGCCTGTCCCCGGCATACATGAGCTCCATGCACAAGCCCCGCTCCCTGACAAGCCCTTCCCCCGGCTCTGGCTAATTTCGTCTCTTTCTCCCGTGCCTCTCCCCCCAGCTGGACGTGTACCTGTTCCTCTTCTCTGATGTGCTATTGGTGACCAAGCCCCAACGCAAGGCAGACAAAGCCAAGGTCATCCGCCCCCCTCTGATGCTGGAGAAGCTTGTGTTTCGACCCCTGCGAGACCCTCGTATGTCTCTCTCATGGGGAGCTTTTTCCTCCTCCTTTCCTCTTGGCAAGGGGAAGGAGGGGTCAGGATGGGGAACCAATAAGGCCCAGCCCTTAAAGCAGACCTTCTCCTCCACCCAGACAACTTCCTGGTGATCCACCTCACTGAATTCCAGTGTGTGTCTAGTGCCCTCATTGTGCATTGTCCCAGTCCTACTGACCGTGCCCGGTGGCTGGAGAAGACACAGCAGGCCCAGGTATGAGACAGCCAGACATCAGGAAGGACAGGCAGGCCCCTGGCGCTCAGAAACAGAAGACAGAGGGGAGGGCAAGGAGGGGGAGAGAGAGGCTCGAATGGGTTCAAGTTCACACTGACTGTCAGCCCTCAGGTGTGCCCTCAGCACAGGAACTGGTGTCTGAGCACCATTTGGGGGATAGATACCTAGGAGTATGTCAGGGGGACAAGGGAGGGAGAAAAGGGGTCCACATGGAGGAGCAGAATGTGCAAAGGCCAGAAATATAAAACAGTTGTGCATGTTGAGAGAACCAACACATGGCAGTTTGGCATTACTAGGGCCTCAAGTACAGGGGCAGACGCAGCAGGAGAGAGGCTGAGAGGTAGGTCCCACCAAATCATGCCCATCTCTGGATATCATGCTGGGGAATAAGCACTTTGTCCTACAGATGACACAGCCACAGTAGCCAGGGAAGTGACATGGGCAGATCTATGTGATAAAAGGAGGAATTCAAAAGAACAGAGATCAGAAAGAAGCTGTATTGGGTACCACAAATGTGGTGGCTTAAAACACAATAGAAATGTATTCTCTCATAGTTTTAGAGACTAGAAGTTAGAAATGAAGGTGCTGGCAGAGCTGGGCTTCCTCCCAAGTCTCTAGGGGAGAGACCTGCATCTTTTGGCTTCTGGTGACTCTAGGTGTTCCTTGGCATATAGCAGCAAAACTCCAATCTCTGCCTCTGTCTTCACCTGGCCTCCTCTCTGTGTCCAAATCTCCCTCTTCTTTCTCCTCTAAAGACACCAGTATTAGATTTGGAGCCCACCCTAAATCCAGGAATATCTCATCCTGAGATCCTTAAGTTAGGATGCTTGAATACCTGCAAAGACCTTTTTTCCAAATAACTTCACCTTTACAGGTTCTGGGGGTCAGGCTTGGACACAGCCTTTTTTGGGGCCAACTACTCAAACCACTACAGGAGCAAAATGGCCCAAGAAGGGTGAAGATATGAGTTGGACTTTTAAGGATGGGGAGAACCATGAGCAAAGGAATCAGAGGTGCAATTGGGCTGGATTTATTTTGGGGACACCATATCTGACTGAGTCTGGAGGACCGGATTTGTGTGCTCCAGTGGTGAGAGGCCAGGTCCTACAGGCCCTCAGAGCTGCAGTAGAGCGTGGCCTGGGTGAGACCAAGTTGAATAGGGTGGACAAGAGGGAGCCACTGTGAATTCTTCAGCAAGGAATGACATGGTGAAAATAGTGTGTTTTGTCACAAATTGAGTTTCCAGGGAATCGGGTAACTGTATGGTAGGGGGGCTGGAGGAGGGAGAAGTTGGTAGCAGTTTTTTGTACTAGTTTGGGTACAAAACATTGAAAGTTTAGCACCTTAGGGAGACATTAAAGAATAAGAGGGTGAAAAGAGAAGAAAGGAGCTAAAGAGCCTGAGTGAGACTATGGTTAAAGCCTATATTGAATTCAGAGAAACTTAGGTTCAAAGGCCAGTCCTACCAGGTGCTAGCCATGTGACACTGCATATGCTGCGTGGCCTCCCTCGGCTTCAGCTTCTTCAGCTGTGAAACAGATACAAACAACAGCAGCCAGATGCAGTGGTTCATCCCTGTAATCCCAGCACTCTGGGAGGCTGAGGTGGGTGGATTGCTTGAGCTCAGGAGTCTGAGACCAGCCTGAGCAAATATAAGACCCCTTTTCTACTGAAATAAAAAAAAAACTAGCCAGGCGTTGTGGCAAGCACCTGTATACAGCTACTTGGGAGGCTGAAGCAAGAGAACCACTTGAGCCTAGGAATTTGAGGTTGCTGTGAGCTATGATGCTATGGCACTCTACTGAGGGTGACGAAGTGAGACTCTGTCTCAAAAAATAAAATAAAATTAGAAAAACTAGCCAGGCATAGTGGCAGACACCTGTAGTGCCAACTACTTGGGAGTCTGAGGCAAGAGGTTTGTCCAAGCCCAAGAGTTTGAAGTTGCTGTGAGCTATGATGCCCTAGTATTCTACCCAGGGCAACAGAGACTCTGCTCAAAAAACCAAAACAAAACAATAACAACACCTGACTCGGCTCGGCGCCTGGGGCTCAAGCGGCTAAGGCACCAGCCACATACACCTAAGGTGGCGAGTTTGAATCCAGCCCTGGCCCC